ATGGGTCTTGTTTTTTTATCCAATCTGATAGCCTGCATCTTTTGATTGGGGCATTTAGCCCACTTACATTCAGGGTAACTATTGAAAGATATGAATTTAGTGCCATTGTATTGCCTGTAAGGTGACTGTTAACTGTATATTGTCTGTGCTCCTTTCTGGTCTTTGTTACTTTTAGGCTCTCTCTTTGCTTAGAGGACCCCTTTCAGTATTTCTTGTAGGGCTGGTTTCGTGTTTCCAGATCGTTTTAATTTTTGTTTGTCCTGGAAGCTTTTTATCTCTCCTTCTATTTTCAATGACAGCCTAGCTGGAATTAGTATTCTTGGCTGCATATTTTTCTCATTTAGTGCTCTGAATATATCCTGCCAGTCCTTTCTGGCCTGCCAGGTCTCTGTGGATAGGTCTGTTGCCAACCTAATGTTTCTACCATTGTAGGTTACAGACCTCTTGTCCTGAGCTGCTTTCAGGATTTTCTCTTTGTCTTTGAGACTTGTAAGTTTTACTATTAGATGTCAGGGTGTTGACCTATTTTTATTGATTTTGAGGGGTTTCTCTGTGCCTCCTGGATTTTGATGCCTGTTTCCTTCCCCGAATTCGGGATGTTCTCTGCTATAATTTGCTCCAGTATACTTTATGCACTCTCTCTTTCTTCTTCTTCTGGGATCCTAATTATTCTAATATTATTTCATCTTATGGTATCACTGATCTCTTGAATTCTGCCCTCGTGATCCAGTAGTTGTTTCTCTCTCTTTTTCTCAGCTTCTTTATTCTCCATCATTTGGTCTTCTATATCACTGATTCTCTTTTCTGCCTCATTTATCCTACCAGGTAGAGCCTCCATTTTTGATTGCACCTCATTAATAGCCTTTTTGATTTCGACTTGGTTAGATTTTAGTTCTTTTATTTCTCCAGAAACGGTTTCTCTAGTGTCTTCCATGCTTTTTTCAAGCCCAGCTAATATCTTTATAATTGTTTGCAACTCTAGTTCTGACATCATACTAATGTCCATATTGATTATGTCCCTGGCAGTTCGTACTGCTTCTTGTTCTTTTTTTGAGGTGATTTTTTCCATCTTGTTATTTTGTCCAGAGAATAGATGAATGAGAGAACAAAATACTAACAGGGTAAGAATGACCTCAGAGAAATATACACTAAACAAATCAGAAGAGACCTGAAACTGGGGAAAAGCAGGGGAAAGGAAGAAAAAAGAAAGAATATAATCAAATATGATCATCCTGGTGTGGTGTCTCCAAACCCGACAGATCCCTGCGGTGTGCTCTGCACTGCTCCTCCCGGGGGAGGAATGGAAGTCTCCCAGGATCTGCTGCTTGTTTGGTCCCTGCTGGAGGAGCAGTGGCCCGACTGTGCCACAGATCACGGTTTATGGCAACCCCGAGCTGAGAGCCCAATCCTCGACTCCGTCTTTGCAGCCACCTTCTCCGCTCCGATACCTGGGAGCTCTGCCTCACTCAGGCACCCCTGGTCTTTCTGTGACCCCGAGGGTCCTGAGACCACACTGTCCCAGCGAGGGTTCCACCCCCCACTTAGCTACTGGAGTGATGTCCCTCAGCGGAGCAGACTTCTAAAAGTTCCAGTTTTGTGCTCTGCTGCTCTATCACTTGCCAGAAGTGGCCAGCGGAGGCCCCCTCCCCCATTGTCTATCCTCCCGAAAATATCGCCTTGGATTCACTTCTCTGCACATCCTACCTTCCAGAAAGTGGTCGCTTTTCTGTTCAGAGAGTTGCTGCTATTCTTTTCTTCAATCTCCTGTTGAGTTCGTAGGTGTGCAGAATGGTTTGATCCCTATCTACTGAATTCCTGGGACCAGACGAAATTTAGATCTCCTACTCCTCTGTCATCTTGTTCCTTCCCTGGTAGACACAGACTGTTAAAACACATGGCATTGAGATGAGCATGAGCAATGGTTTGACCATGCTGTGCTGAAAAGGCACACTGCTGCCCCACTTCCTCCCAGGGCATGACTGATGGTTACTGATGACCACTGTGTAAAACTGTCCCCTTCTTTCTTTTTCCTGACTTCAGGTGGATGCACTGAGGTTACGATTGGAGGAGAAAGAATCTTTTCTCAATAAAAAAACAAAACAGCTGCAGGACCTAACGGAAGAGAAGGGGACACTGGCTGGAGAGATTCGAGACATGAAGGATATGTTAGAAGTGAAGGAAAGAAAAATCAATGTTCTTCAGAAGAAGGTGAGTAGCTGACATAAACCCTTTAGTTTGGGAATTGGTATCATCCATATCTGTCATTTCAGAGAAATTTTTGAGCACATGGAAGAGAAGAAACTATTTTTTAAGACTTTGGATTAGGAAGTATAAACTTTAAACTTACTGGTATTTAACTTACTGTTGCTTGTATAATGCCATTTTTAGCATAGCCTGATGAATTTTCTATTTGATTACCTGAAAACTAAATAGTGATGATTTTTTTAATATTTTCCAGCTTTAACATAGAGATAATTATACAAATTTAGATATACATTTAAAATAATAACAAGTCTGAAAAATTAATTTTTTTTTTCCTTACGGAGAGTTTAAGAATGTATTCTGTGGGTCTTAAAGGTATTTTAGATGCATCTTTAATTTATGTAAATTTTAGTACATCTTACCTTGCTCAACCCATACTGATTTTTTTTTTTTGGTCGGGGAGGACTAACACTTACACTTATCTTTTAATTGGAATCAATGAAAGAATATATAATAAGTTCTGACTACAGTCACCTAACATAGAAGATGCTTGATCTAGCTAGGGCCCTTCTTTAATTTTTTTCCTTCAGCAGCTCATTTTCTCCATTTTAGGGGATCCAGATTTGGGGAATGGCCCCTAATTTCTTTTTTTTTAATTCCCATTTGGTACCAGCATGGAAACTGGGCAGGAACCAGTGGTAGGCAGGAGGAGCCACTGCTGGGAGCTGCCTCAGACAGGCATGTTGCTGGGCACCCATGTTGCAGTTCCAGACAAATGGACTCTAACTGGTCCCTCCTTCTGGTGTCATTTGCCACTATCATCCCCCACCTTGTTTATATCAACAGCATCCTAGCTGTTTTTCGTTTCCACCCTTACCTTTCCTATAGGCTGTTCTGAACATAAAACCTGGAGTAGGCCTTTTATAACATAAAACAATTTATATCACTCTGATCAAAACTCTCTGGTCATAATAACCACCTACATAATTTTGCAAAATGAAAATCATTTAAACTTTATTGAGAATTTCTGGATGAGCATGGGGCCTGCTGCAGCTACACAAGTCATATGCCCCTGAAGCCACCCCCAACCCTTGTGGCTTCCATCCTCACTCTCAGGGTATTGGTGATCTGATGGATCACATTATTAATTCATTTCTGTCGAGATCTTCACAGACAATGCCCTGGTATTTTGATCTCCCCTTTGCAACTCTAGCTAATTGATACAGATGTTTAGAAGAGAGCTCGGAAGACATGACCGAGGACCCTTGAATCAATGGGGCTGTTAAGGGCAGATGGGACTAACAGAGAGACAGAGTGGCAGTTCTTGGGGCAGGTACTAAGGATTCCAAAGAAAACGTTTCCTTTAAAATCTGTGGCAGTGAATAATGATGAAAGCTGACATTTTTTGAACTTATGTTGAATACTGTATGCTGGACACTTTGCTATGCTTGTTACATGCACTGTTTACTTATTTTTGACCATAATCCTGTGAAGCAGGTATAGTTCTTAACTCCAGGAAACAAGGACACTGAAGCCTATGGTAGGCTTGCCCAAGGTCATGCAACCTAGATGCAAGTTTTTTGTTTTTTTGTCTTTGAGAAAATAGAATAAAATGGTCATTGCAATTTAAGAGAATACACCTCATTTTCCTTTGGACCTCAAGTTTTATGATAATGACACCAGGTGTCAATCAATGAAGAACATCACAATTGCTTCTTTAATAAGGAGTTGAGACTAAGTGTTCTTATTCTTGAGGAATAAATGGCATTGATGTTCTCGGTAAAGAATTTGGGAACGTACTTTCAATGCATAAGTGACAAAAGACATTTGCTGATGTGCGCATTTTGCAAAATTTTATACTTTGCCCCAATAGCAAGGCTCAAAGTTTTGAGAACTAGTTTGGAAGTTCTAGAACAAAGCCAATTGTATGTTATGGCTCCTTTGGGCAACATGATTATAACACCACTTATTTAAAACATCTAGATAATGGATTAGGAAATATTTCATGTGTATTCAGAGAGGCTCTTCAGCTTCAAGTTTTTTTTCACTGAGTATTTACCAGTCCATTTGAGGAGGAAATAATACCACTGGCAACATAGTGAAGGGGCAGGTGTTCTATTATACCTGCAATGTAAAGGAGAGATAATCCCCAAAGAAGTAATGCACACAATTCAGAAACCTACTCAAAATGTGGAAGTAATACAGAAGCTAATGGGCCAATGAAACATTGTCTTTGGGAGTGGAGACTCCTTCGAGTTTTGACCACATTCAGCATAATTGGCTGTTTTAGGGCAGGCCTGGATTGGAACAGCATAAGCTTTGGATTAGGGTGTGTTGGCATGGAAGAAATAATAAACTTATGTCAGTGTCAGACATGTAGTATTACTTAATATTTCTTTCTTATAGACTCTTTGGCAACCAGCACTGTGTTTTGATGCCAATAGAAATGGGTATGCTCCTTTCATAGCCATGTTTAACCTGGCAAAGCTAGGCTTGCACCTCGTATCTGTCAGTCTTGCCTTCAGAGCTCTGGGTCTCAGAAATCTTGTATCCTCCATAAGCCACATGAATAGGTCACATGTCTAGGCAGCAGGCGTGGACACAATGCTCTAAGCATTTTGTTACTTGGGGAAGGAAGTGAAGTTGAATAAACAGAGAACCCCAGGTGACAGAATATCTCTGAGCGAGCTTTTGTAGGAAAACAGCAGTTATCGAGCATGGATTTTTGGCTGTATTCCATAATTCCCAGATATGGAGTTCTTTTAGTAGGGGACAAAAATGTGCACGTATGAAAATTGTTCAGTTGATTATCCTCTTACGGCTGTGATGCTGAAGTCAGAGGAGCAGTACAGTTTTCAAGCTGCAGGCTTTGCATTCTGTTCTCATACCTGAATTCAGACTTCAGTTGATGAAGTGCTATCTGACTATTGAGTTTTTGTAGGAAATGTCATAAAACCTTGATGACATTGTACATTTGGAAAGTATAAATGCCCAGGGTTATAGGACATGGTAGCATTATTTGAACCAGATCAAATTCAGACTGTTATGTAGCTCATGCAACATAAACTTACTACCCAAGAAATTTTTAAAAAGCCATTAAATTGGACAAAAATTCTATCTCCATTTTCATTCTAGGTCTCAGTCCCACTTTATAGAGCAGAGGTACTTTATTTATTAGGGGTAGAAAAACAGATGGTGATTTCTCTGGAAGCCAAGTTCACTATCTGCCTACTGGGCTTCATGGATTGCCCTGTGGGTTGGAAAGGGCAGGGAGAGGTGAGTGGAATTGGCTTCTGGGGGTGATGTGTATGGACCTGCCCACTTCAGCAGCTTTATTCTACCCATTTGGAAGTGTGGCGGTGAAAATCCTGAATGACGATAATCTCAGAGGTAAGGATGCTGCAGGAGTATGGTTACTATCATACTGGGTTTCTTCATGAAGTTTATCAAAAAACAGTATCTGAGGAGACGAATATAGAACATAGAGATTTCCATGTTAGTGTAAAGTTGATGTAAGTTATGGAGGACTTTGAACTGAGCTCTTTCTTGGTGTTTAAACATCCAGTTGCACTTTTATATTTATTATTGGCAAACCACCTATTTTTTGAACACATGGAAAATTGTATTCTTTTTGCATTTACTTAATGTTTCCTATGTGTCAGTCAGTCACAACTCTAGGTCCTAGAGGCTCAAAGGGAAATAAGACATTCTCCAGTCTTCCGGAAGCTGACAGTCTGGTTGGGGAGATAGACATGCATAATGGAGAGCAATATGATGTATTACCAGATGCAAACTGCTTGATGGACGCAAACAGCAGAAGCTAATTCTGACTACCTTGAGCAAAAGGGAGTTTATGGCAGATACCCAGAGCCCCAGTATCTGGCCGGTAGAACCAGATTAAGAATGATCAAGAACCAGGACAGCTGTAGGAGACCAAGAGAAAGGAGAGAGTGCCATGATCTTATAACCAAGAATGTCTGGTCAGGCATCTTCTCTGCTGATGGCTCCCCTTCACCCTCCTCCCACTGCTCTTACATCATGGTGTTGGTTAAGATTTAAAGTCCTGGGAGAGAGCTCCAAATTTCACACAGGTGCCTCTCATTGGCAGGATCTAACTAGACCTGCCCTAAAAGGAATCTGGGAAATGTGGTTCCAAGAGATTTCCACTCAGTTCTTGTGTCATTTACTCAGGGAAGTCTTTGCTGACATTGCAGGCTGGGAGAGGTTTTACACTTTTAAAGAACCGTTTCTTGGCTCAGTTTGAAATTCTGGATCCCTTTAGTGAATGTTGGCTTCCCTCCCACGGCTAATCTCTGTGAGTGCCCCAACTGGAGTATTCAAGATACCTCCAGCTCCTTGCAGAATTCTTGGCAGGTGATGGTCCTCAATCAATAAACATTGGGTGAATAAATTATATCAGCAAATTCTGAATGAATGAGGACTTGGGAGAAGAGAAATCACTTTGAGATCCACTCCTGGTCCACAAATATTGTTAGTTGTGATGGAAGTCTTTTGCCCCAGTGAAATGTCAGACTCACTCATTGTTCACAGGATGGTATGTTCTATGTAAGCTGCAGGATGGAACCAACCCATGCATAATGAGACAAGGTGGGGAAATGACTGTTCTACCCACATCTCAAACCTTGGTTCCATTACCCTGACAAGACAAACAAGGGGTTATGGTTTGAGTAAGGGAAATTAGCTACTCTTGCTTCCTTTTCCTTTTTGATAAAAATAAAATGTGGTATTTATGAAGAATACTGTCTTGTTTTGCAGTGAATACTGCTTCTTTCTCCAATTCTCGCTTCTAACTTACTGGATTGTTAGAGGCATGGTATTCTGGTGAGAGTGATAAAATGAAAGTATTGATTATTCATGATCATTTTTAATTATGACCATACAAATGTTAATTTTTTATAACAAAAGGATTATCTGCTGCTGATTGAGCCCTTACTATACACCGGACATTGTGCAAAGAGTTTTGCACTCTTAGGTTATGAGTCCTT